CATTAAAGCAAGCAGGAGTGTACATATATCCTAGGGTTTGTCTACAGCTAAATTGCCGATAAAGTCGAATAAGAATAGTCACCCAAACCCTAAATCCTAAACCCTAAACCCTAAGCCCTAAAGGCTACGCGCCCTATCCCAGGCTCTAGGCCCCAACCCCCAAACGCTAAACCCTAAACCCCTAGCTCTGAGCTTCAAACCCTAAACCCTAGGGTTTAGGCACTGCAAGGCGTTTGGGGCGAGCACTGCATGAAAATAAACCCTAATTTAGCGGAAAAGGACCAATTGGCAAAAGTAAATAGAAAACAAATGATATTTAAACATTTTAAAAGTTTAAAAATTCAAGAAAGCGAAAAAAAACAAAAAAATGCCAAACAGAGTTTTCAAGTTTGAAAGCCACGGCGAAACCCGCGAAGCCCCGCGGCCTCTGCGCAGGCGAAAATGCAAATTTTTGCGCAAATTTGGACGAATTCGAAAGCCAATTTGAAGTGAAATGCAAATTAAATTAAAATTAAAAAGAAAAACGCAAAAATAAATGCAAAATGAGGCGCTTTTGGCTGGGGAAAGTGACCTGGATGCCGCCGGATGCGGACCGCCGGGTGTCTGTACAGCACAGACGATGTTTCGTGGAAAGTTCCGAAACTTTCGCCGCAAAAACGCCAATTTATTTCCGCTTTGGCAGTTTTAATTTATTATTTTAATTATTTTATAATTATTTACGCAAAAAATTCAAAAAATGAAATGCCATTTCGGGTTGCGCCCAGCCAGCAGCTCGCCGCTGCAGCCGCGGCCCACAGGCCGCAGAGAAGAACACAAACAAACAGCAAATTAAACTATTTATTTTTTACAGTAAACTCCAGTAATTCGGAACAACACTCAACAGGGTTTAGGGTTTAGGGTTTAGGGTTTAGGGTTTAGGGTTTAGGGTTTAGGGGCTCTAGGGTTTAGGGTTTAGGGCCTGGGGCCCCGCCGCATGCCTGCGCCTTCGAGGGTCTTCGGGGCCCCCGCGTTGAACTAATTGTGTTCTAATTAATTAAGCTTTTTATTTTATTGAACCTCTATTTAGCAGCCACAGGGTTTAGGGTTTAGGGTTTAGGGTTTGCGGCTCAGCGGCTGGGGTTTAGGCTCTACGACATGGGATGCACAGCCCAGCCTTACTTCCCTAGGGTTTAGGGTTTAGGGTTTAGGGTCTAGGGTTTAGGGCCCAGCGCAAGGGCTTTTGAGCCCCGGTGGTACACCCCCACCTGCTCTGCAGGGTCTGCCTGTCGGCAGATCTAGGGTTTAGGGTTTAGGGTTTAGGGTTTACAAAGGAGCCGGAGAACATGCTGCGGCCTCTTCTCTCCCAAACCCTCGTGCGGCGGTCCATTTGCTGCAGCAGCAGCAGCAGCAGCAGCGGAAGCTGCAGCAGCAGCAGCAGCAGCAGGGCCTCCCCAGCGCCCTGCAGGGCGCACCACAGCAGCACCGGCAGCAGCTGCAGCAGCAGCAGCAGCGTTCACAGCAGCAGCAGCAGCAGCAGCAGCAACAGCGTACACAGCAGAAGCAGCAGCAGCAGGTTTTGGCTGTGTAGACAGAGGGGCCCCCCAGAGGGCTGCACAGTATTGGAGGCGGCTCACTTGAACAACGTCCCCCTAGAAGGCAAACCCTAAACCCTAAACCCTAAACCCTAGCCCTAGGGTCTAAACCCTAAACCCTAAACCCTAGGCCGCAGTCCCTAAACCCTAAACCGCAGCTCTGAGCGCCAGGCCGTGCCCTGCGGGCGCCAGCAGCGCCTGGCTTTCGCCAGCGGGACCCCCGCAGACTCCAGGGTCTAGGGTTTAGGGTTTAGGGTTTAGGGTTTGCTGCAGGGGCCTGCGAGGGACAGTGCTCCTGCTCCACCTGCCACGTTATCCTCAGCGAGGGTTTATACGAAACCCTAGAAGCTCCAAAAGATGAAGAAGACGACATGTTGGACTTGGCAGCTTGTCTCACTGACACGTAAACCCTAAACCCTAAACCCTAAACCCTAAACCCTAGAAGCTGCAGCGCCTGGACTGGGAGCCATCCGGCTCCGGCGAGAAACCCTCAGCAGCGGCGGAAACCCTAAACCCTCGAGTTCCGCGTAAAACCCTACACCCTGCAGCACAGCTCAAACCCTAATGTCTGGAGCGCATGCTGTGCAGCAAACCCTAAACCCTAAACCCTAAACCCTAAACCCTTGACTGGCCTTTAACCCATTACGTTCAGTTTCGGCTTAAAGGTCTTTTCTCTATCTGTAAACCCTAGCTCGCTTGTGTAGCCTAAACCCTAACTGCGCTGCAAACCCTAAACCCTAGCCTGTTTGACAAACCCTAGACCCCAATCTTCCTCGCAAACCCTAAACCCTGATGTCGGCCTTGTGCGTTTTTGGGTCCGTTTAGGATTTGAATAGGGGCTTTTCCCTTTGTTTCAGGGTTTGGAGTTTGCCTGGGGTTTAGAGCGCAGAATTAAGGGTTTAGGGTTTAGGGTTTAGGGTTTAGGGTTTGTGCGCAGGTCGCGTCTGGGCTGCCAAATTCGCGTCACGGAGAAGTTCGAAAACGAGAAGGTTCGGCTTCCGCCAATAACTCGGAATTTCTTTGTGGACGGCCACAAGCCGAGTCCCCACTGAGGGTTTAGGGTTTAGGGTTTAGGGTTTAGGGTTTGGCTAGTCGCCAGCTTCAAACCGCTTCTTCAAACTGTACGAAAGCACTTGGTAGACAACCAGCACGGACAAGAGGTAGCAGACAATGAGGCCGATGAGGAGATAGGCCACCCAGCTGAGTCCTGCGAGGGTTTAGGGTTTAGGGTTTAGGGTTTAGGGTTTAGGGTTTAGGGTTTACGCACCCGTGGGAGCCTCCGGCAACTGACCCCCCACCAACTCCACCCCCGTTATCAGCGCCGCCCCCACAGAGCCCGAGAGGAGGTAAGTCAAGTTCACTCGGGCTTTGAGAAACTCCACAAACAGCTGAAGGGTTTAGGGTTTAGGGTTTAGGGTTTAGGGTTTGCACGCGAGCCAGCTCACCGGGGTTATGTACGCCGGCTCCACGTTCTCTGCAAACCGCCACATTGCACCCAACTAAACCAAATTCACCGGCTAGCTAGCTAGCTGGCTAGCTAGCTAGCTAGCTAGCTAGCTAGCTAGCTGGCTAGCTGGCTATATTTGGAGAGAGTTTACCTCGGCCAACGAGAGAAACGAGGAGATGATTTTTGACGAACATGAGGACCATTCCATCGTGGCAGGACTTGTTGCCGATTCCCCATTTTCTGCGGAGAGTTCGAGGCGTTTTCGAGGGTTTAGGGTTTAGGGTTTAGGGTTTAGGGTTTAGGGTTTGGAGCACCGGAGGAGCTGCGCGGCCATTTCGTCTGCGGCACTCTGCAGTGTCTGGCCTGGGGGCACGAGCAGCGCGGGCATGACGGCGACGGCGAGCTGGGAAGCAAGAACGGAACGAATAAAATGAATAAAATGAATTAAATTGAATAAATAAATTAATTAAATTAATTAAATTAATTAAATTAGTTCATTCAACTCAATTACTTGGAAATGATGCAGCTTTCCGTCGGCGCATTCGTGGGCGCGCTCGTCGCGCAGCCGCAGCAGTGCAAGTTCAAGTTCAGCTTCCTCGAGGGGAGGCAGCAGTTTCTCGGGGTCGCAGAGCCAAGAGTGGGTTTTTCTGCGCGAAAAAAGAAACGAAAAGAAACAAAACAGAAATAAATTAAATTCAAACTTCAATTCAATTCAAATGTTCCGTTTAAAGCCTACCGAGCGGCGAACGCGCAGCGTTCAGGCTCGACGAACGGGTTCGGGAAAGTGGCCGCGCTGTACAGCATCGCCGCCTCCCTGAGTTGAAATGCGGGAAAGCGGAACGAAATGGAGTTCTTTCGGTTCTAAAAATTCAACTTTTCGCGGAAACGCATTTTGTAATTCAAATGCAGTTCATATTTCCACTTTAAACAGCTCTTTCCCACTCTTTTCCGCGGCCGCGCGGGTAGAAGCTCTTCAGCGCGCCGGTCTGCGGCGCAAACGGCTCGAACCGAAACGGGCGCTCCTCCCCCTCCCCAAGCGCCGAACCCGCCAAACAAAACACGAAAAATAAACTTCTCTGCCTTTTCATTCTTCCAAATTGCAAAAACTATTAACTGACGCCTCCAAACTCCTCCAAAACCCCCGCCGCGCCGGAAGTTGAATTGGCGCGAGCGGCAGCAGCACTCCGAGCTGTACGTACACCCCAAACGCAAGCCCACACAGCTTCGGATCCGCTTCGCTCATTTATTTTTCATAATTCATTTGTCGCAAAATGGAAATCTTCTTTTGTTTTAGTGCAGACTTTGCTATTGGCGCCGCTCCTGTGTCCTGGGGGGCCCCGATTCGCATGGGGGGCCCCATCGAGTCGGTAGCGGGATGAGTTCTGCTGCTTCGCTTTTCTCGGCTGCAGCAACTTGAAATGTTTTCATTGCCTTTTAATCTTTTCATATTTAATTTAATTTAATTTATTTTTATTTCAATTTTAATTCAGTTTCGTACCCGCCAGAGGCCTGCTGCACTCAACTGATCCCAGCCTTCCTGTCCGTGGCTTGCAGCCCCCAGTCCGCGGTCTTCTCTTCCAGCAGCAGCAGCAGCAGCAGCAGCACAGCAGCAGCAGCAAACCAGCAGCAGAAGGCCTCTCCCGCGAGTCTCTCACACGTAACTTATTCGTTTTGGCGAACTCCATCAGTGGAGGGCCCCAGGGCCTCGCTTAGGAGCGCCCGCGGCGGCCAAACCCTAAACCCTAAACCCTAAACCCTAAACCCTATGGAGGCTGCGCACCGGTGGGCGGGGGCCATTGCCCGCTGCTGCCAACCCCGGGGGCCCCCCAAACCCTCGTGGTTAGGGTTTTGCGAAAAAAGGGTTTTTCCTTTTTTGAAATGCATGCAGCCTTGTTTTCCACTTTATTTAGAAGTTTTGAAAAGCGTCAAACGCGAAGACTTCAAGGCCAGCCAAACCCTAAACCCTAAACCCTAAACCCTAGCCCGTAGGGGCGCGGGGAGTGCGCACCCGCTGGGCGCCGGGCTCGGGGGAGCAGCGCATGGGCAGGCAGCCGCAGCAACGCAAACCCTAAACCCTAAACCCTAAACCCTAAACCCTCGGGGGAAAAAGACAGCGAAACGAGGGTTTAGGGTTTGCGGTTTGCGGTGTATGGACAGCCCAGAGGCCTCATCGTCAATGAAGAGGCCCAGGCGAAGTTGGGGGAGTTTTATTTGTGCTGTGCATACACCCTGAACCCCGAAGGTAAACCCTAAACCCTAAACCCTGAACCCTGAACCCTAATCTTCAAACCCTCGCCCGCCTCCGTCGTACTCCGCAGCTCCCGCGCCCCCGCAGCAGCCTCTGCGCCCAGGGTTTAGGCTCCAGGGTTTAGGGTTTAGGCCCTTGCATGACTTAGGGTTTAGGGTTTAGGGTTTAGGGTTTAGGGTTTGGGGTGTTTTGCAGAGGTTGAGTCTGCAAAGGGGGATAAAGAGAAGCTCCTCAAGCTTGCAAGAAAAACAGCAGAAGAAGAAATCGAGCCGTGGATAGCTGCAGTGCGCGTGAGCCCCCAAACCCTAAACCCTAAACCCTAAACCCTAAACCCTAAACCCTAGTTCAGCCTAGACACCGAGAGTCCTAAGCCCTAAACCCTAAACCCTAGTTTGCCCCCGAATCACTGCGGTGGCAGCGCACCCCGCGGGTCTCAGAGCCCAAACCCTCAAGACTCTGCAGCCTGAGAGGACCTTTTAGGGTTTAGGGTTTAGGGTTTAGGGTTTAGGGTTTGTTTTCAGAGCTTCACGGAGGACTACGACCCTGTGTTGGCGGCGAAGCTGGAGGAAGCTGCAAAGTTCAAAGTGAGTCCCTTGGCTCATTAGGGTTTAGGGTTTAGGGTTTAGGGTTTAGGGTTTAGGATTTGACATTGCAGGGCATAGAGCCTTTGCTGGAGGCTTCTAGGGTTTAGGGTTTAGGGTTTAGGGTTTAGGGTTTAGGGTTTAGGGTTTAGATGGGG